TTAATATACTACATCCTCTGAAATAAAGATAATTGTTATTAATTGAAAATGCATTATTATTATTATTATTATTATTATTATTATTATTATTATTATTATACTACATCCTCAGAAATAAAGGTAATTGTTATTAATTAATTATTCAGTATATTTTCCAGATCCAAACTTAACAAGAGCACAGATACGACGAATCCAACTTCGCTCCTGTCAGTGCTAAACGACGAGACGCCGTCTACTTAATTTAGTCGTGGCAGTCTGAACGGATCGTCGTTAAAAACGACCAGTTGCTCGCGCGCGTATTTGCGTTGCGTTCTGCACATGATAGCCTTCGGTGCAGTGAGTGTTCGGTTTAGGTGATAGAAGAATTTAGTGTCATTGCTTGTTCTAAGTGTGTTTAGGCGGAATTGAGAAAAATGAAATAACTTTAATAGTAGACTTTAAAAACACTACGGTATTTTATTTCTAGTTAAGAAAGAATTTTTCAAAAATAGTTTAGAACGAGAAATAGCTGAACAGAAAATAATTACACAATTAGACTGTATAGAACTAGGCCTTAACATTGATCGAGGATTCCTCGCACATTACCGTCAATAATTATTTCTCATCATTGTATGTATATTTTTATATTTCTATAGCTGCCTTATTATTAACTATACATGATTTTTGTCTCATAGTTACCGTACCTTACTGTATTTACTGCCTATTTACTGTTTTTACCATTGACTTTGACGACTTATTCTGTATGCTATTTCCCACAGTTTCTTATCATTGATCTTTTGTTCTTTTAATACTGTTTATTTAGATTGCTTATTTCGGCAAACTTGTACTTGCTTTGTACACAATTCTTTGTTGTTTTAGGACCGCCCCCATTATTTCAGTTGTATATTATAGTTGTTTCTTATCCCATTTGTACAGTCTCCTGGTGAAGTCCACTGTGTGGACGAAAGCTAAAGAATAAATTATATATTGTTAGTCTCAAAAGTGCTGCTGTTTTTTACTTTATATTTTCTATACTTGTACAGACTAACGCGGCTATACTTTCTATTCATCATGTTTCGGACTATTTTATTCGTAACCCGCATATTTCTGCAACTCCTGTGACCTTCATCAGCGATAGGCTTTACATTTTTTTTAAAGATTCTGCATAGGTAAATTAATAGGTAAATGAAATACAAATATTAAATTTGCTAACAATGTATTTTTCAGGGTTGTCTTAACCCTTTGGTCATTGGCCTTTATCAAGTCATCATTTGATATTCGTATTCTGATTTGCGTCACAAAGGATTGTTTGCCAGCTCGCACACATGGTTAAACACACGCGTTACAAACATGTCGATTGTATTGTAATATATCTAGATTAGCCCATGATTAGACCTGAGACAACTATACACGTGTATTAGTTGTCTCAGATTAGACGAAGAAGGACGAACTTATCAGATTTGAAGAAAGCTACCTATTTACAAATACCTTTTCTTGGAAAGCAACCTATTCTCTCAATAATTTTGATTCTCTCAGTATATTTCCGATAGCTTTAGTTAGCTTAAATGGCCACTATGCACAGTTTATTATCACTATTAAAAAATTGGAACTAATACTTTTAAAATGTATTACTGATTAAGTCTACTTGTACTTAATAACGGCGTATAGTTCTAGAAATTGTAGATTATAGAAACAATTGAGTATAAGCAAAGATAATAAATAGCAGAAGATAGAGCAGCTTCCCAAGATAGTGGAACATCCGGTCGAAATGCATTGTGGGTACACGGAGAAAAATTTTACTGCATCAGCGCGGCGTCGCTATATAGTAATGAAAGGTGCCGCTCCAGTTCGTTTGTTTCCTGTAGTTTCTCCACTTAGTAAAATGTTCAAATTTTACTGCATCCGCAGGAGGGCGGATGTTCCATCGACTTTAATGCAAATGTACGCGGAACAGCTCATTCTTCTGCTATTGAAGTTCTTTGGTATAAGACACCAAATTAATTTGGACATTTGAGCGCACTGGACGCAATAATAATTATACTTCATAGTATTCAGTGATTATCCAATTTAGGGTCTCGAATCCAGGTCAAATTACCAGTTTGAACGTTTAAATTACAAAATTATACAGAATCTGTTATCCCTCTCAAGTACTTTGAACTCTCCTTTTGTGTCGAAATATCCAAAAATTTCAGTGGGGTCATTAGATTTTCCCGCGCGAATGTGGAATAGTATATTACCACCTAATATAGTTACTTCTGTGTCCTTCCAACAACTGTTTTTTTGTTTCTCCACTAAAGTTATACAATCTTGAATTAGTCGTCTGAGGGCGGCCTGTTTTGATGTGTCGCTGGAACCTTCGTTGCCACACAGCCAGATTATCAATCGACCCAACGTACGTTTGTTTATTTCATCAACTTCAAACTGAGGTAGAAAACAGACAGTATACAACTTATAAATCAATGCATGAATGACCATGTCCCGACAAAATATAAGATATTAAATTAACAAATATATTTTATGTTTCATAACACGTCAACTGTTGTCGCTGATTTTTTCCCCATTGTTATAAAGACCTAAATATAGACATATATATATTTATTACACTTTATTAACCTAGCATTTTCGAATTTAATAAATAACAAAAACAGTAATGATATCAATAAGTAAAAAAGGAAGAAAACCAATGGAAACGCAAAAATAATGATTACGATGATGATCATGATAATGATGATGATGATAATGATGACATAAATAGTAAATAATAACAATAATACTATGTAAAATGTATAAAAACTATTAAAATCGTCCTTACAACAATTTCACCTTCGTGTGGATTATTGACAACACCTATTTTGATTTTAACAACCTTGCATCGGATTTTGATTCGTACGTTGTACTCTCCATATAGAATCAATTTTACATTATTCATTGCTTCTGGTCGCATAGCGTTGCTAAATTCCGCCCATCTATGTAGGAGCTTTTTGGTCCACGTTGAACATCCAACCGTTGAGAGCTTGTTTAAAAGTGAAGATACTTGCTGTTCACTAGCAAGGTTAAGAATGCTTTCTACTTGCAAGGTTATCTATAAAGAACAGAATGTAGTGTTCTATATAAAATTATTGTTATGATCATTTTATATTCTAATGGGTTGTATTGATGATCACATAAAGTGATATTTAATGATAATGGTAATGATGTTGGCGATCATGATGATGCTAATGATAATAACTATGTCGACAATTATGACGCTGATGATGTTGATAAAATATTAAGATAGTGATGACGATGATGGATTATAAAAACACACTGCTGTGAAGTCTGATTCAGAATGAAACGCGTAGACTAGACCTGGGGCGGATCCAGGAGGGATGCAGTGGGTGCTTTATAGATTGGTGGTAATTAGTTGAATGTAGGCAAAAATAGCCCCGGAAAAAATGGCCCCAATTGACAAGTAGGTAAAAATGGCCTCAAAGAAAAAATTCAGTAATAGAAATAATATTTTTTTAAAATTTAAATACTAGCTGTAAAAAGAAGAATTGAATCAATAACAAATACAGTTACACAACAGATGCAAATAATGTACTGAGATATTTTTGGAAAACAATGGCCATTGAATAACATTTTTTGATAGTAGAAATAAGTTTTAAAAACGTTATTCCACTAACAAAGTAGAGGAGTGACCTACATACAGTACTTCAACTACCAAAATATGCAGCCCATAGATAACCACAAAATTCACTTTTGTTAAGTTTCAAATGAAATAATTTTACATGTTAAACAGTGCAAATAAACAGTAGTTAGAGCATGTGGATCAATTGTGTGTTCGAATCACAAGTTCATGTATGGGAAAAGGGAGAGGCTTACTTTCTCACAAACTTAGCAATAAATGTTCTGCTTAGAGTTACTTCAAAGAAGTATTTGTTAACCAAATATTGTTTTTAAAGTAAACTGAATAATTAGGAATAGGCCTTCATTTATTTAAGCAAATTATTTAATTGCTATTTTGTTTTTACTCCCCGCCAACTAAATTTAATTGCCTAAAACTATACAAAACAATGTAAACTGAAATATTATATATACATATTCATAAGAACATATTTTTTGGTTAAAATGTTTTTTGTTTTTTTGTTTTGTGAAAAAATACTTGCAAATACACCACAAACCTCTAAACGCACTGCGAACCCCATCCAAACCCTTTAATTATGATTGTAGAACTCTCTATTTCTAAAAAAAATATATAATAATTTGATGTTCATATAAACTCATGGTTTGTGGGTTTACCAATACCCGGATTGAATTCCTGGAAAATTGTGATTCCGCTTCCGTGAAATTGGCCTCAAATAAATTATTTTAGTATTAATAAAAATGCATGATTTATGTTGATTTATTGATTATGTTGTTGCTATTTTTTAACATTTAAATGGAAAAAAAATAAAAAGTGTTATTCATGGATTTTTTTTATCTTTGAATATTTTACCATTGAATATGTAATTCCTGCAAAAAGTAAAACGTAAATGGCAATTTATTTGATGTTAGATTCCTTTTTAAAAACTAAATTATTTCAGTTAAAAAAAATGCATATAATGATTTTTTTTAAATCAGTTTTAATACAGAATTTGATTATTGGGGCCATTTTTACCTACCTGTCATTTGGGGCCATTTTTACCGGGGCCATTTTTTCCTGGGCCATTTACCGTACACCAGTTGTATCATAGTACCTGTGGTTTAATAATGTTAATAGGCACTGTACGCAAGAGGGCGGGAGCCGTCAACTACTACTGTTTTCTGTGGTCTTCACGCTCTGATGAGCACAAAACCACCGTCCGCCCGCCGTCTACTACTCGTCCTGTTGCGTAAGTAGTAGGTTACAACCTATGTTACGGGTGGAGGGGGGCATGGAGCGCCAGGACGCCCTCTCTCAGCACAGGTAACCAAAAACAGTAATGAGGAATACTGTAAAACGTATTCAGTAACGTCAACTGCTTTATTCTCCAAACATTTATGTGGTAAAAGGAATGGTGTTTACGTGCTTAAATTAGACAGTATAAACTTTAATAAATGGTACAAGTCTTGTTATCTATGCCCTGCACTATAGGCAATTAAAGCAGTATATAGGCATTAAAGCAATTAGAAATATCTATGTTCTTGTGAGACCTAAATCAATTCTTCATGACCAATAGTTATGGACATATGGATAATGTCAGTAACTAGGGTCAAGGTTCTATTATGGTATTTCTTGTCATTTTCTAGGAAATGTTTTATTACAGTAAATATAGGGCCTACAATTTATGTTACGAACAATTTGATACCAAAAAAAAATCATACCAATAAGTAGTTGTCAAATATAAGCACCCGATATTATCAGAAATAATTAAATATTTATCACGAGTAAATAATATTTGATAACATAATTAATGTAATGAATAAGTTAGTTTTGATTGCATTCTTTCATTCTAATAAAACATAAACCTAAAAATGTCTACCGAAATATTCTGTCAATTCTCACCGTTGTTTCCACACCTCCGTTTCTCAATTCTTTCAGTTTTAGTTTACAATCATTAGATACAACTTTGATTACAGAGGGTTTTGATGATATAACCAATGCATGTTCTTCTTCACCCGATTCCTGCCTGCAGATCCATTGTGCGCATGCACGCGCATATTTCTCTTCCTCCGATCCAGGATCAACGTGGCGTGAATGCAAAAACGTGTCTATGGATTCGAGCAACGATCTTGATGAAACTTCAGTAACTTTCTCAAAAGCCTTTAGAAAAATAATATAACAAATATAATAAAACCCGGTACATTAAGTAGACATAAGAAATAACACATACCCTTAGTATTCCCTTAGTATGTCTAATCAGGTACACAACATCTGTAAAGCCGGGCTTCAGTCAATTCGTAGAATTTGGAGTATCCGGAAGTTACTGTATAGACGAACCTCTCGCCATTGTGCTATTATTTACCCATAGCCTCCGTGCCCACAGCCGATGCAAAATCCTGTCTCTTATACACATGTTTATTTCACAACTCATTCATCCTTACATTCCTAAGAGGTCTCTGAGATCTAGTTCAGAGTCTCTACTTGCTCATTCCACTTGCCCGTCGACAAAGCATTATGGTAGTCGTTCTTTCTCTTGGGCTGCTGTCTTTCTTTGGAATGCTCTGCCTATTACAATCCGACAAGCAACTTCCATTGATGATTTTAAGGCAGCTTTAAAAACTCACCTTTTTAACTTGTATTTTTCTTAATTTTTTCCCCCGAATTGTATTTTTACTGTTAAGCGCATTGAGGCTTTAGCATAATGCGCTATATAAGCCAAAATTATTATTATTATTATTATTATTATACCCACATATACATATACATACATACATACATATATACATACATACATACATATACATACATACATACATATATACATATACATACATATGTACATATACATAAGTATACATACATAAATGTTACCAAATGATCGATGACACAATAAACCACTAATTAAATTCAAAAATATGACGATCATTTCAGGCAATGCCTGAAAACTTTATTAGGCCTATCCATTACTAGGCCTTACGCTATATACATGTTTCGATAGGTCCTACTGTCATCATCGGTGTACAAAGATTCCATATAGGCAATCTTATTTAAACGAACTGAAGTTTGTGACACGTCAATCTATACGTAATTCAACCGTATCAAGTTGTGAACACCAAGATCATGAAAAACAGATGTATAAATAATGGTAAACGGAATGAAGTGAAATCAGAATGACAAAGTTGAATTAACATGGTAGAGTTTTTTGTTGAGTGAGGGCTGCTCCCATTAAATATGTAATGCCTCCTTTATTTTGAGATGATGAGTTGATGGGGCGGAGTCAAGAATACAGAAACAGCCCTCACTACAAGTTTGCATGCATTTGCGTGAATTCTTAAGGTGTTGGATTATGTGAGAGTTCCTATCCATTGACAAGTGCTCGTGCACGCGTGTTGAGAAGTGCCGGCTAGTTTCTCCGACATAACTGGCATTACAGTCAGCACAAACAAATATATATACAACACGAGAGCGGAGACCGTCATACATATATGTGTATACACACATGTTTTGTTTGAGGGGTAATTTAATAGTTGGCATTAGACCTGTGAATCCTCTCTTTGCTTTGCTTCCAAGCCTCGAACACCACATTGCATTTTCCCGCCATCCTCTCCTGCTTCCTCCATACTTATCAGTGCACTACGGTATGTGCGCGTGCACCCAGGTTATTAGTAATTAATTAGTTTTTAGGTATATTGATTTGATGCTTCATTGTTAAATTAACGTTTTACAACTCTTCATGTACTATTTATATTGTAATCGTCACTGAAGTATTTTATGTATTGTTCACGTGTCATGCGAATGCCGAATGTAACAGTCTGAACTTATATAGTTATATATACTCTTTATATTTATAACTCTTTTATTCTTTAGGGGCAGCCTTGTGTTCCTATTCTGCCCCATTACACATTTTTAGATAACTATATATCAAATTGTTTTTCGTCA